AAAAGGATACTTTTCTCTTCTATTAATAAAAAAAACACCTTCTCAATATAGGCCAGATGAGAAGTATATAGACATATGCATTTGCCTCACATCATCTGAGTCAGGCCCTGTCTGTCCTGCCCCTATCATTACATCACCTGTAAAATGCAGAGGGTAAGAGAAGCAGACAAAGGAGAAAGAAAGAAATTCTGCACAACTCTATCCACAACATCTACCTGAGAGCAGGTATGATAGCAGCCAGTAATACTGAGAGGGCAGGGTGCAAAGTGGAAGCACCCTCCTATCCACCACCTACTCTAAGGAAGGGAGAGGGCAATTTCACAAAAATAATGCAGAAAAATATTCTCTTCCTGCTATGAGGGAGTGCTACTGGCTTTTTAGAGATAACCTCTGCTGCCCACTGAGCTGGTCCACTCTGAGGAGCCTGTACCTGAAAAGTAAACATTTATCTTCCTCTCTTCTTTCTGGGCTGAAAGTCCCATAAAAGTCGGTGAGCTGGAATCAGATTCATAAGAATCTAACCTACAGTTTCCTGCGGGGCATGATTGAAAGATTTTTTGGTTTCATTTTAACCCTTCAATTAATGGTCCTTTTACTTCAGCAAAAACAAGATTTTGGCTTAAAACAAGACTTTACCCGAGGTCTTGTACAGTTCACACTTCCCTGGACTTCCCTGAGAGACAGACTTGCAAGTTCACAGTTTGCATTACTAGAAATATTGAGGAAAGGAATTCTGTCAAATATTATTCAAAATCCCTTTTCTCAGAAAAACCAACTGCACGTATTGAGTAAGTCTAGGAATAGCTTACCTCAGGTGCAGTGGGGTCCAGAACCAAGTCAAATGAATCAACAGCAATGACTCCCAGGAGCTGCTCCCCTGCCCCAGGACTCAGGTTTCCTTTGTCTCAGGCTCTCACTTAAAATACGATGACACAGCTGTTCCTTTCCCACCATCTGCCAAACTGTTTCTGGTCATCTGTATGAGTTTGCTTGTCTTTTTGCAATTTCATGTTAATGATTGAATCGAGCCGTCAGTGCTACTAGATTATGCCTTAAAGATATATGGGCGGTTCAGTTTCACTTTGGAAGGTGCAGGGGCAGGATTCTGATACAGGATATTAATATGGGTTTCCTTCTGCTCTCTTCTGTCAGGGGCATTAATAGTTTAAGAGAATTAGTTGGTAAGTGGGATGCTGCTCACAGAACTTGGGCTCTTGGCCTGGCGTGACTGAAGCAGATGGCAGTTGCAATGTTAACTCAATATACTAGGTTTTTAATAACCTTATTAACATTATTGATACAATATTTCCTGATAAATGAGGAGCTTTTAAAAACATTTCCTCTGCTACTAAACATGATTCTAAGGATGTCATCCTCTAGATTTCTCTCAAGTGTGTATGAGTGTGTTTGTGAGTTTACGCGTGGTATGAAAGCCTGGCTTCTTAGATAAGCTAGAAAAAGCTGTGATAATATACTGTCTATAAATAGAAATTTCAATAAAAGAAACATAAAGGCTACAGTGAATGTAATACTGCTACCTATCAGAGAAAAAAATCAAATTTCCTTTCTAAGAAATTGATTAAATAGTCCAACTAACTTTCAAACCAACTTTGTGGAATAAAACTGATCAAATTCTTAAGCAGTGAAGACAATATATTAGCAGTAATGAGGACTTCTTTGTAATTTTGGAAAAACTGGTATAAGCCAGGCTCATTGTCTACTAATGTCACGATAGTTGATGACATTGTTGATCACCAGGTTGTGATCAAGTGCTGATTTTCATTCTGAGTATTTTAATCTGCCCCATGAAGTCAATTGCAGGACCACTAGACATTGTATGGAAGTTTAGTAAAAATCTATAAGGTGTCCTTGTCTATTGTAGTGCATATCAAAGACTAATTCTGCCCTGATGGCTGAGTCATCCATGTAACTGAGCCAAAATACCAAAGAATTGTACAGACTTCAAAATGGCAAGTAGAAAAACAAACTGTTGCCTGGTAGATATCGAACTACAAATATTTCTCACTGTAAATTTTATTTTAATTTATGCAGGCATACCTTTATGTTAACAAAAAAAAAAAAAAAAAAAAAAAACACCTTTATTACATAATTGTAACTTTGACCATCCATTCTTACATTAACACCAGAGGTTCACTGCTGTTTACAGTATTTAATATTTATAATATTCGTGTTCATTGCTGTTATCCATGTGCTGTCTTCACTGCCTGTCATGGAGCATCTCTCTTATGAGGAGAGGCTGCAGGGGCTGTGCCTGTTTAGTCTAGACTAGAGGGATCTAATCAATGCATATACATATCTCAATGGTGGGTGTCAAGAGGGTGGTGCCCGACTCCTTCAACGGAGCCCAGCAACAGGATGAGGAGCAGTGGCCGTAAACTAAAACACGAGAAATTTCACATCAACATGAGCAAGGACTTCTTTATGTTGACGATGTCAGAGCACTGAATAAGCTGCCCGGTGGGGTCATGGAGAGGAGGTCATGTCTCAGTATTCCAAACCCACCTGGACGCGTCCCTGCGCCACCCGCTCTGGGTGGCGCTGCCTTGGCAGAGGGGTTGGACTGGATGGTCGCCTGAGGTCCCTTCCAACCCTAACAATTCTGTGCTATTTTGTGATTCTGCTTCAGTGTGAGGAATGTATTTCAGTATTTTTGCGAATGCTCGAATTATCGGCACTTCCATTGCAAGCAGCCAACGTCACCGTTTACCCTTCAGTGTCGCTCCCCCTCAGAACCGCTCTTGCCCGCATTCGCGGCTCTCCCTCCGCTACGCTGCCCTTCATCCCTTCTCTTTCAACCTCGGCCCAGCACTGCCGGTACTCAGCGCCGGGGGCAAACCCGACACTGCCAGGATCCCCCGCTTAGGCTCTCATGTAATCCCAAACAGACCCCGACACTCCCCTCCGCTCCCCTCCCGGAGGGCACAGACACCGCCCACAGGGGGGTGGAGCTCGCGCCATAATGGCGCCCACCCTCCCCCGCTCCGCGCGCCGGGGGCGGGGCTACCGCCCTGAAGCGCGCGCTGCTTGAAAGTGCCGGCGGGCAGCCGCGCGCAGCCACTGCGTGGGGCCGGGCCGGGCCGGGCCGGGCCGGAGGAGCCACCAGGGACAGACCGACCGACCAGCCAGCCAGCCAGCCAGCTAGCCAACCAAGGCCGCTGCTCGCGTCTCTGCGTCCCCCCTTCCCTTCTCTCACCCCTCTCCCCGGGCAGTGCCGGCCCGCGCCGAGGCAGAGCCGCCGAGCCCAGGTTTATGGGGGCACCCGCAGGAGCCTCCCGTGCCCCTGGCCCGGCACAGCCAGACCTGATCTGACCTGACCCGACCCGGCCCGACCCGACCCGAAGCGCCGTGAGCGAAGATCGAGGCTCCTTTCCCCCGGCTCAAGCGGCGCCATGGGGATCCAGGGCCTGCTGCAGTTCATCAAGGAGGCTGCCGAGCCTTCCCACGTGAAGAAGTACAAGGGGCTGGCGGTGGCTGTGGACACCTACTGCTGGCTGCACAAAGGCGCCTATGCGTGCGCG